GCCGGAGGGGATGCAAAATGTTCGGGCTTTTGTGGAAGAGGTATTTGTCTTCCAACGCCTCGCAATTTACGTCGTTATGGCAAGTTTTTGAGTCAGAAGTCTGTCTACAATAATCAATGGCGCAATCATGCACTTAAATACCAGACGATGTCAGCTCCGGACGGGCTGATAATTCACCTCATTGGACCTTTTCCAGGATGGAATTACGATATCGAGATGTTCAAGGCGTCCGGTATTGCCCAAATTATTCGATCGGACGAGCGATTTCGTTCTTATCGAGTGTTTAGAGATCAAGCCAACGGAACGGTTGTGTTTTAACGAGTCATTTTGCTGGAGAAAAATAAGAAGTTTGACTCGAAACCAAAATCAATGATGAACCAGTCAGGCCTTAATTTTCGGTGTCCGGTGTTCGGTGCTATGCGTCTCCTAAAAAAAAGGCTCATCATACACTATCTCCGAAACCTTCGCGGTGGGGATCTTGTTTCGAAACGTTTCACTAGTGTTTGAATTTGAGATTAATCAAGCCGAAACTTCGCAATGCAATAATCGTTAGGCAGCGCGTTGAAGTTTAAAGGAGCTCGTGGAGTATTTTCCGGGGAGAAAGCAGTGTGTAAGTGCAGAGAATTAGCCGCTGCCACAACAGCCTGATGAGTTTGAATGGCTTTGTACCACAGCCGAAGCAAATGTGATTTCTTTTGGTAGCGACGGAGGCCAGTCGTGAGATAGCGCACTAGCTGAGCTTGCTTGTCACTAGCATCTTCGTCCACTCTCGTGAAGATTACCATGCTTGAGTCGTCGAATAATAGAAAGAAAGTAATGCATTGCAGGAAATTTCTATACCAAAGCATCAATTTTACAGACGATATAGTGACGAATTACGAGCAGACTTTAACCTCATCTGTTTAACTTTGAGCTGTTTAGTCAGATGGCAAACCCTTTGTTGAAATGGTGGATTGGTAGATGAGTTTGGGCTCTGAAACTAGCTGCTAAAGCCCTTTCTTACGATTTATCAGTTTTGCTTAGGCCCGTGTTCAGGTGGGACACGCGTTCCGAGTGGGCAGTGGATTAGATTTAAGCAAACTTGAATGAGTCACGGCTTCAATGTTCAGCTCAGCGTGGTGCGGCTTGCCCAAGACCAGTCGTATCAAACCGACGGCAGACAAGCCACACAAGCAGTTCTTCTATGGAGTCGCCAGACCGCACCACCGAAATTAGCATCCCGCCTGCGAGCCTTTCTCACTGGCCTATATGCTGGCAATCTCGGTTTTGAGGCCCTGTTGCAAGACACCGCAAGCCACACATCACAGCTACACGCGTTGCACCGGACGGCGTCAGAAGCAGCTTCTCCTGTACCAGCATACACTCGTTCAGTGTACCCAGCTTCAGAGAGCAAGGAAACTCAGAAAGGAAAAGGGAAGGGCAAAGCAAAGCAAAACAAAGGGGAAGGAGCAGACAAAGTGGTTCAGGTGGTCAAACAAAATGGTGGAGGAGCTGCTGCGTCTGCGTTTCTCGGACGGAGACGTGCAGCAACGACTAGAGGCTAGTGACACGAAACAAAAATGGCTTTGGCCTGACAGTACTTCGCCAGTGTGTTATCGCAATCGCTTGGGGTACTCAGCCACGACTGGTTTTTAATGCAAAATGAATGACGACATGTTTTATCTTATCTAAAACATTTAATGCAGGTGTCTTGAAGTACAGGAAACTAAAGTGCATTTACCGCAAAGAGAAGTGCAAGCTGAAGAAGACAGGAAATTCAGCTAGTATTAGCGAAATGAACGAGGCTCTCTGGGCCATTTTAAAAATGCTTTTGGTGGACGTGTGGGTATTAGTAAGGAGGTTCTTTTGAACGCTGCTCTGAGAGAGGATAAAGTAGAAGACGAAGAGAGTCCCACGGCTTCTACGAAGGAGGATATCCCATCGAATCAAATGTTTGTAACAAATTGCCTGTTTGCGTTCGTGGGGATCCTCGTTTATCTCGGTAGGGGCATCTTGTAGTAGGGAATCGCCGTCATCAATATAAAGGCAATCCTGCACTACGTAGAGCCAGTAGTTTGTGCACTTCAACTCAGGATGACTTTGCACTTTGGATCAGACGTCTTCAACTTGCCAAGTAAAATCGGTTTTCAGGGACCAAAAGCGCACTCGATCGACCATAATTCGAGTCATATAGCGCGCTTTATTAAATCGACGCTTTTGATGATCCTGCAGCGCCTCTGCTTCAGCAAACGGTGTCAGCACGTGACTCCAGATCTCGTAACCAACATCACACAAAATGTGCTTTCCTGGCGGCATGTAGCTTAAATACTGTAAGCAAAACGATGGTTTAGCAAACTTTAATATGAGCCGTTTGACGGATAGCTTACCATTTTCACTCCAGACCCATTCCACGGGGACTGGCCGTTGTTTGGCCCAAATCGAATGGAAATGGATCGAAAGAGGACCCGGTGGTCCACAATAGCTTGTACGTTCGCCGCCGGAAACTTTTTGCGGCCATACCACTATTGGAAATCGTGCGGTCGCGCGATATGGATGAATATCATCAATTCTCCGACCCAACTTAATTTTAGTATTGGTTTTAATCACCAATCATCCATTTTTATTTATTAGACAACCAATCGCTCGGTCTTGACAAAATGATTTGGCCAATCCAAATGGTAAGGGCTAGGTTGGGCCTCATCGGAGTTGGCTCCGACATATCGGGTCGGAGGTGACACGCAAAATATGGATATGCTAATACAATGTTTAAGATGTTGACATATCACATGCATAAAGTGATTTCTCCGACTTCTCCGACCGGTGTAATCATTTCAGTACACTAGACTCAATTTTCGCAGTCTACAATTTGCTTACTGTTATACAAAATCTTGACGTCGACAACTGGCAGGCGGCAGCTCTAGCGAACTCGCTTCGTCATTACAATACATGCAACAGCCTGTGGGGAGGAGACGTATTTAAGAGTAATTACTGCTGAAGTATTATAAACTAGTAGTAGTATACTAAATGAACAGAGCAGTAGACAGCATTCATCAGTCCCACGCGTTATTTATTTAGCACTTCAACTCAATAGCAACACGGCGCCAACATTCTCCTGTCCCTCAACATGCGTACCTCTCTACTACTGCTCATGGCTACGTCCACCTTGGCACCGGTTCCGAACGTGTATCTCCGTCTTACGCGTAACTTCCAGCTGGAGCAGCGCCACGCTGATCCACAACTCAGCCTTCCTGACCTCGGGAGTCGCATCCTCCACCTCCATGATCTCCATCTTGGCCTCTTCCGCTTAAACCATCTACTCTTTAATCGCGTCGGTCTCCGTCGCAGCCACGATCACGATCTGTGCGGGCAGCTCGGCAATACTTGCGAGGTGCAGACGCGCAGTAAAAGCAGCGACATCACCTGCATCGAACCCGTTTCGTTCACTTCGCCCATCGTGTGCAGCCCCACGGCCAGGTCCAGGTCGCGACACCGCCACGAGATATCCGGCTGACGCAACACATCCAACCGCTCCACCGCGTTCCAGACGCCACCACGAATACACCCGAACAACCCCACCGTGCTGCAGATCCGTAATCCGGACCATCAGCGCCATATCCCACTCGCCACGCTACTGCCAGCACACCTGCACGTTGGCCCTCACGCATGTCGAACATCGGCCCGCTCAATGGCGCGTCCGTGAGTTTCCGCGTCCACGGACCAGAACGCCGACCACACAGCAGCGCTGTCAAACAACGCGCCGTCCACGTCCAGCTCGACTATCGCCAGCAGTGCCTTCCTCACCTTCCCGGCTCTCCACATCATCCACCCGCTGCCGCCGCCCCGCTGTTACCGTTGCTGCTGTGTCCGCCACCCGCACGCCGCCCTTTCGCGGACGTCGCCACCCTTGCTCACCACCTCATTCCCTCACGCCTCTTCCACTCTAGCTCGCCGCCGTCGCCACCATTTTCGCCACTCCACTCGCTCGCCGTCCGAACGATCTCTCCCTCTTTCTCCCTCTTTTTTTTAACTTAGGAAAAGTGCAATTCTAAAAAATAAATGCATAAATTTTAACAAGTACATGTAGTATTTTTGTTTAAACCATGTTTTATGTTACGGTCGGAGGTTGTCGGAGGTCGGAGATTTTATGGTATGGACGAGCGTGCAGTCAACGGCACCGATGGTATTGAGAAATCCTGCCGTTGCTAAAAGCCGTCCTCCACAGTGGCCAGCTCCGCAGCCGTTGGCATCACGACCAGCCGTTGTGGTGTAGTGATTTCTCCATAGTTGCGGATAATCGCCCGTCGACAAAGACGTGACACCGCCCAAAGATGTATAAGCGACGAACCCTCGGTCATGTGATGTACAGTGACTCCAGGTGCAAGAGACCCGACGGCGTCAGTACCGAACTCTCAACGGGTTTTGGATACGGTCCATATGTCACTAAAACCAGGCTGTCTTTAATATTAATAATGGACTGGATTCAGCGGCCAAGAACTGACCATCTATGGTACGAACCCTCGGTGGCGGTTGGGATGAGTTCACGGAAGACTCAGCGACCCTTGGAAGACACGTTCACCGTCTTGGACAGGGCGCGGGCCGTTAAAGAAGCTCATGCGACGGTGCAGACGACGCTTGGCGTGCAAGAAGATCCATAACGGATCATTGTTCGCTTGATATTTGTATATTTAATTAGGAGTTCTTATTAGGAATAGACCCGAAAGGGTAAGCATAAATACAGAACAGAATTTCCACTCAAGCACACAGAGCGACGTCCGGCTTCAAGGTAAGCGTCTGGCCAAGCTTGTTTGAGTGTGTTATGCCTGTCGGTGAACTCGAAGCTCTGTAGCGAGGGTTCATCCGGCAAGGCCAAGAGACTGTGTATTTTGGCCGATTACTATCGGGAGACCTTACGTGACGGCTTATTGTTGCCTATTTGCACGACTGGGGTTGCTTGTATTGCATCCCTTTTATTCTTCTGTCGAACACTCGGTGACCTCGTAGAAAGGCTTACCCGTGCCTGGTACCCTTCCGCTGTTGGGACCACGAGGATTCATAACACCTGCTAGCTTTGCTCGTGCTAGTAGCGTGTCTATTTTACTGGTTGGCCTATATAAGTAGTTTACAAGGTCCAGTTTGTCCCGGTGCAAGGGCAGAACTGGGGTCTTCAGATCCGCCCGAACGATCGTTTACTATCCTAGTAGCCGTATTGTTGTGGGAACGTCCTAACTACATTTGTAGCTAGAGTTCACGTGGGAATTCCAACAGCACAACTGGCGCCGCGACCCGGGAACAGATTGTGACTATTGTGAACTGTTTGTATGGCCTTCCAGCTTACGAGCTACCAAGAGAACAAGAACAAGAAAAAGAGAAACATGGCCAAAGGACAACTGACGGTACCAGTCACGCCTGCCGAGTCTGGCGGAGCTCGCAGCGAGAGTTCAAGCCCGGCTGCACACTTTGCAGCCGCCACCGAGCTTTCGGTGAGCTTTGACGACGAGGCAGACATCGGTCCTGACGCCCCACGATTTTGAAGATTACGAAGACAAGACGCCGGCTCCAGAGCCAGGCGCCGCGACACCGGAAACGGTCACGCTATCATCAGGGCTGAGCGGGGCGACCAGGTCCCTTTCGAGGAACCTCGCCGACGAGCTAGATGACGTTGCGGGACCGGAACCGGCCTATGAAGTTTATGACGGTGGGACCGGGGTTCTAAACCTTCGGTGGCGAGTGCAAAGCACTCAGCATTGCTGAAAGCTCCTCGCCCACCTATCAACGGTGATACACCAGCCGCCAAGCGCGTTTTCGACCGCGTACAAGCGCTGATGCAGAATAATGAGTGGATGCAGCTGTTCAAGCCCATCCCCAAGAGACAGGCCGACTGGCTTGCGCTTGCGCAGGAACTTCGATACCCAGTCAACTCGGTGTCGACTAGCCAAGTTGCCGAGGATTCGGTCTCGATACTGTTGTCGCTGGGCTTTGAGAATGAGACGTACCCATCGACGATGTTGCTCCAAGATTGGAGTTCCACATGAAGCCGGATCTGCTCTCCAGAAATGGAAGAAGAAGCTTCGGAAGGCGTTTGGCGCTGTTGGCATTAACGCTGGAAAGCAGCCTGTGAGTCGACCGATGATTCAAGAGGAAGATCCGTCCACGATTCCACTGCCGCCGACACCCCAACGACTCGTTCGTACTCCTCCGACCAAGCGTGGAGCTGAGCGTGGTGCCTTTGGCACTACCGAAGCTTCACCGTACTTTCAAAACTCGCACATGGTTACGCCACGCTCAGAGATCCATATGCAACGTGTTTACGCTGGTAACGAGGGTTCGTTCGGTCGCCGAGGCGATGCGCGAGCTCCCAAAGGAGATGCCGGATGTCGTCAATTCGACAGCGATGGTTCGTCAAGTGACGATGACATTTTGGTGTGTACATTCGACGAGGAAGATCCTCAAGTAGAGTTGATGCGTCAGATGAATGAGCTGGTGACGCTGAACGACGTGGACCCGACACCAAGGATTGAAATGGCTTCGCACCGACCGCTGGATCGCATCCCGCCGTTCTCAGGCTCTCGCAACAAGAGCGAGAACTGTATGCAGTGGCTCCGTGGGTTCGTCTACGAAATGACTGGAACCCACACAGATGCCGTCAAATGGTGCGCTTCGTTTGAGCTTAGTCTCCGGGACGGAGCCATTCATTGGCTCCGTCAACTTCCAAAGACGACGAAGCGCAAGTGGAAGCTGTTGAGCGATGCTTTCATCCGCTACTACTGCTCGCAGCTCAAGCAGCCGACACTGTCCCGTTACTACCTGCAAAGCGGGAACGTAACGAACATCTGTGCGACTACATAAACAGGCTGAATGGCTACACTCGGACCACCCGTCTACACTTCGAGAAGAGTGGTCACGACGCGAAAGAACACGTACAGCAGTTCCTGGCAACATGTGATGATGACAACTTGGCGGAAAGTCTTTACCACGCTCGAGTCGCCGACATTCACGAGCTCGAAGAGATCGTCGAAGATGTTCTCAAGGGCAAGGAGAGAATGGTCAAGCGTGACAGTGAGTATCGATACTCCAAGAATCGTGACCGTCGCCGCGATGACAATCGCAATCAACCAAGAGTGACGCTCATTGAAGCCACGGTGAATGACCTACTAGCTGAATTAGAGGGCCGTGAAGCTGCTCAAGGGGGCACCGAGTATGGAAACGAAGATCCGAATGCTTACAACGCTGTCCAAGACGAGTACAACGACTTTCAGTCTGATAATACGGATGGTGATTTCTCATTGGATGAAAATGACCGGTACCTCGCCGCGGCTAACGAAAATGAGCGCCGTGCAGCTGCTGAAGGCACCTACGCACGTTCAGACAACCGTCAACCGCGTAAAAACACGCCTGATGGCGAGAATGGCTTCAATCAAGATCTCTGAGGTGGTGACTGTGGGTTCAATCAGGACCAACGCGGTCGACGTGACTTCAACCGCGACAACCGACGCCCACAGTACGGACCATGCGCGGTGTGCGGCGGCATGAGTCACTCCGCCCACTACTGTAACAAGCGATGCAAGCTCTGCAAACAGCTCCACGATGCTGGACAATGCGAACTTTTCCGCAACTTCCAAGACCTTGCCAAATTCGTGCGTACTAAAGACACGAAGGAGGAACTCCCGCCAGAGCTCAAGGCCGTCGTTCCAGAACGTCATTTAAACTAGGCAGCCCGCCAATTACAACTGGGTTGGGTCCGTATCGGGCTGCCACAGTTAACCGAGCCTTTAATGGAAGCAGAGGGGTATCTTTGCTTTCATGGGACAGCGTGACCGGCCTGATAGTTACGTAACCAGTGTGAACGCGGACGGAAAATGAAAGGA